AAGCCAGCCCGGGCAGGAGAGACCGTGAGACTCCTATCTCCAATAAACCACCAGAAAACCGGAAGTGGCGCTGTAGCTCAAGTGGTAGAGCTCTTGCCTTGAGCTGAAGAGCTGAGGGACAGCGCCCAGGCCCAGAGTTCAAGCCCCACGACCGACAAAAAAAAAATAATAATAATAATATAATTAATCCTTTGGAAAATTTCTCCCATATGTATCATAAGAAATCTCATATGAGGATATTCACTGGGGCAGTAATTAGAAAATCAGAAGTGACTTCATATTTGGGAAATAAACAGTAGTGTATGTGTACTAAAGAAGCACAAAAAAATAAAACTAGATTTACATTTCCTGACATGGATACATTTCAAAACACACATTGAATGAGAAATGTTCCCAAAAGGATATATACACATATATATATACATATATATAATCCTACTTTTTTAAATGCAAAGTAAATGTGTTTGAAGTAAATGCATACAGAGAAAGCATAGAAAAGCATGCATGCACATGCACATGCATAAAACTTGAAGACAATCATTACCTGTGGGGTGGGAAGAAGGGGAAAGGATGAGAGTAGGACTGAAGCATTATTTTATTTAAGTGAGATCTGAAGCAAATATGGTAAAATGTCGAAATGTTACTTAACATTATGTATTTGTTTCTGTATACTTAGGTTTTAAGTCTTGATTGTTAGGTACGAAGTATCCTGAAGATTGTAAAAGTATGTGAGTGGAAAAGGGATATTTTCATTTCTGAATCCAATACAGTTCAGTAAAAGGCAGTTGTAGAACACATTTTTATTAATGAGAGGGGAAAGTATGTCAAAACAGGTTATGATAGTTTAAAAAAAAAAGGTTCCTAAAATGGCTACCTTAGCTAGGTCACTGAACCATAATTGTCTTCCAAACCAATTTATGCTATTTATAAAGTTTACATTTTTCATAGTTTCCAAAACCAGGCTTTACTTTTAAAGTCTGAACACTAAGTCTATACTAAGTCTACACTAAGTCAGATCACTAGTCTATACATATGTATGGAAAACCTAGAATTAAATTTCCTGTGTGATTACTGACAGCTTAAAAGATGCAGCAAATCATTAGATTAAACACAAAAACAAAAGATTCAGGCTCCACTAAATGGCTATAAACATATATATTCCCTTAGGCATGATAGAAACATTCTTACATGGGCACTCAATAAAATGTCCCAAAAACCTATCAGCTAATACATAATACCAGTTGCATACCCAAATGACACTAGGAATGCTCTCCCCAACCACCGTGCTTCTTTGACTCTGCTTTCTAGCCTCATCCACATTTCTGATGCTAACTGCTCTATATAGTCCCGTTCCAAAATATGCCATTTAGATATTAATCCTAACACCATTCAGCATACATACTTGTCTGTCTTCACTTGAAGATTAATGACCAGTAGAAATAAACTCATTACTGATTCTTTTTTTGTTTGTTTGTTTGGATGTGGGGCTTGAACTCTGGGCCTGGGCCCTGTCCCTCAGCTCTTCAGTTCAAGGCTAGTGCTCTACCACTCGAGCCACAGCACTACTTCTGGCTTTTTCTGCTTATGTGGTGCTGAGGAATTGAACCCAGGGCCTCATGCATGTGAGGCAAGCACTCTACAACTGAGCCACCTCCCCAGTCCCTCATTACTGATTCTTAGCATCATCTTATATTAGCTGATTCTCCTAAGTTTTAATAACTGTACCTTGCCCTTGGTATTGATGAAATGACAGCTTTCCTGCCATGAACTAGAATCTCATTTCTTTGTTATGTTCAAAGGGGGTTGAACTCCCTCTTGTGGACAAAAGACTAAACAACATTTCCTTGATTTTTTTTTTAAATCTAAACCTGAAACCTAACAATTCAATCTGAAAACCAGTATTTCAAAAGTACAGATATATTTTACTAGTTTCACCGAGATAATTGTGGTAGTGAAAAAAACATACTCAGAATTTCACAACTGTGAACTTCAGTATGATTCCACAATTATACAACATGATCAATATCAAATGAATACATCAACATTATTCTTATATTTCCATCTTTTTGAAGACTCATTCTTTTACAATGACAGATTCTGGCTGTATTAATCAGCCAGTTACTATACATAGGCATTATTTTAAGAGCACATGCAAATGAGTGGGACATATAGTCTCCTCAGATTTCTAAAGGAGTGCTCCTGCAGCTGCCTTTCTAGAGATGGCTGTGTACATACTGAAGGTGGATCAGACACAACAGATGGCAGGACATTATTAGCTCAAACTCCCTTCTCTTTCCTACTCATCTATGTACTGCATCCATGGATCAACAACTTGAAACTGGGGCATACTTCCTGACCTCATGATCAGAAACACAACTAGTTAGAGAGAAAAGTAAAGAGATTTGTGGTTTCTTAGTAAGTACCCTCAGGTAACACCTAATGTACAATATCTAAGACTCTATTTCACAATATTCCGAATATGTATGGAGTTACCTAGAAGCCACAGGCAAAATTTTGCCCCATCTGCAATTCTTCTCAGGTAAGGGGAGCATGTGGTATTCTAGATCTTACAGGACTAACCAGTGAAAGAAAGAAGTGCTAAGCTTCTTGAGATAGCTAAACAGCCACTGAAGGCAAAGGTGTTTTGAAAAATGGTGTTTAGCTTTTTCTGCTTCAGAGCTCAAAGAGAAACAGAAGTTCATTTTAAATAGTGCTTTTAATAAAACAATGGGCAGAAAAGTGGAGGTATTTTTAGTCAGCATATCAGATTTTCCAATATGGTCATAGACAGCATTTGAAATTCATGTTTCATTCTCATTTGTATTTACCTCCGCGTTTTTTGAGATTTTCAGTTTTCATTTTACTTCTGCTTCTAAATTCAGGCCCTTTAAAATCATCTTTGTCTTCATTCAGCACTGGCTCTGGTTGTACAATCACTGTACCTAGAATGATTTCATTCAAAAAACCATTACACATATTAAATGTGCAAGTGAAGTACTAGACTTCAGATAAAGCCAACATTGCTGGTACATATTTTGTTTTCTTTCAAGCTTAAAATACTTGTGAAAGGACCTCAAGAGTAAATAAAACAGGGAAGTTGTAAAAGGGCCAGGTGTCCACAATTTACTTGTTGGATTATAGGTCTTAGAAATAGTGGAGGTCTTACAAACTGACAGTAACAGGCATGTCAATCAAATAATAAACCTTGGCCCAGTTTTGAATTTGCATAATACCTATCACAAAAGCTGTTAGGAATATGAGCAGTCACATTAAGTTTCACAGAGTTTATAAAACAAGAGGTTGGCAGAAAGAAAAAAAAGACACTCTTCTTATAATCCAATCAGAAAATGGAGAGGGATTTTTTTGAGTAGGTTTCTACTGCTTTGAGGGGAGGAGAACTATGACACTCATTCTATTGCTGCTACCCCTATTCTACAGCATCTGCTAGAGTATGCCAAAGCTTCAAGTCTTGTAAAATTACTCTAAAATACTTGAACTGAAGTAATAAATAAATTATAAACTGAATTCTAGAATAAGATCATTTGTGGCTGCCTATTAAAGTATTTTAAACAGAATGTCTTTTCTTAATTATAAAATCTGTGAACTGAGGAGAGAACAAGTAAGGAGCAAAGAAAATCAGCTCAGTAAAAAGGCTCCAAGGCCTCAACATCTGCCTGCCTTCATGGGCTTAGTAATGGGCCATTACTGACAACTATTAAAAAGGTAGTTTTGTCAGGGCTCCTCTGAAACATGGGCCTATATAACTGGACAAGCATAGTTTGTCAAGTTAGAGCATCTCGTCACCAGATGAATTTCTGAGTCTGAAAAGGGTAACAAGGGAAAGGGCAAAGAAGATCAAGAGCTTCCAGGCTGTGCTGAATTTAAACAATCCTTATCCTCCCAAACATGTCATTTACAGCAATTATTTTAGGTATATCATCTACGAGAGTTGCCAACATTTGAAAAGGGCTCATGATTTCAATTAACAAAGAAACAGCTGAGCTTTCCTAACTGGAGCTCCTTCTCTACATGGGAACAAAGCAGCACAATCACAAAGGACAGCCACTAGCTTTGGATTAAGGGAGGTCGCACCTGAAATCTTGGCTCCTCAATTTAAAGCAGAAAAAAAAATGTCTTCAACTAAAAATTTTAAGTCTTTATCTCAAACAGTAGAAACAATAGCTACTTTACCACATTGTTCTGAAGACTGAAGAAGATAATTCTCTAAAGATTTCATTGTATCCATGCATACTCAAAAAAATTTTAAATGACCACCCAGATTTAACCTTACACACAGGTCTATTGTTGTTTTAACATGAGAGGATTAACCTACACTCAGGTTAGTAACATCATATACTGATCTCCATTTACAGTACCAGTAAAAGAAGGGTTTGCATTTCTAGTTATTACAATAAGCACTCCCAGTGATATCTATTAAGACTGAAAAAATCCAAAGTAAGTCACCCATTGTCTTCAGGACTCCCAAGTTGTTTGTCCCATCACTCATCAAAATGATTACACAAAATTGTTAGAAATGGTTCAAGAAAAGAAAATGGTAGGCCCCCTCCATTCTTCTCTTTCTTTCTGTTTCCCTCATTCCTGTTCTACATTTCATTTCTCATTTCATTTTCTCAATAGATTTTATAACTCCTAATTTGTCCTAGTTAATCAAAGTTCAATCCTTCCTACCCATAATGTTCATTTAAATTCCAGAATTTTTAAAAATGTGTCATACAACATAAATAGAGACAAGGAATTAAGGTTAATAATGCTGTGAAAGAGCTGACTGTGAATGCATTCAGAAATCCTACTGAGAGACTAGAACATAGTATTTAACAACGATGAAAGTCTAAACTTATGAGTCCTTGAGTCCTTGAAACACCATGAAATTACCAAGTCCCTTGTCACTCTGTCATTTTCTAGGCACAATGCTGTCAGACTTCAGCCATGAAGAGTACAAGATTTTCATTTGGTCTCTCCCCTAATCTCATTAAGAAAGTTTTACCATTAGAAAGACAACAAGTGTCTGACAAGGTTTTTAAAACATATATAAACTTCAATAAACACACCTCAATCTACCTTAAACAGGTAACTTTTTGTCTTAGATAATTTAAGACTGCAGTGAAAATAAAACAGGGTCCTGAGGAACAGTTTAGGGGCAGGATGCTTGCCTAACGTGCACTGGCCCCGGGTTAGACCCTCAGCACTGCAAAAAATAATAATAGTAATTCAGCAAGACTAAACCAGACTATAATTTTTTTTAAGATTTCAAGGCTACTCATACATTTTTACATATGGCAAGCAATTAAAACCTTTTAAACCTGCTTCCATATTCAAGTATAATTTGTAAATGAGCTTTACTTTTAAAGTTCGCTGGAAAGAAAAAAGTAATTCGTTATTCTGAAAACACACTGAATATTTCAAATTTTTAACTTTACTACAATGTATTATCGTACTAATCTATTTCCAGTTTGCTATAACTACAATGCCAACTTTGCTCCTTTACATATACCTCACAGTACCCAAGTACCAATTTTGTAATAACATACTTTAACACCATATAAAAAATTATTACAGATTACCTTTTGGCAAGCTTTGCATAGTAATATCATTTTCTGAATTTTCATTAGAAACTTCTTCATTTATACTTTCATCCAGAGGTTTTTCATCATCTGATTCTACATATTTTGTTACAATTGAAGGTTTCCTATAAAAAAAATTAAGTCCATAGAATTACTGGCATTTCTTTTTTTTCTTTTTTTTTTTTTTCGGTCTGGTCGTGAGCCTAAACTCTAGGCCTGGGCGCTGTCCCTCAGCTCTTCAGCTCAACACAAGCACTCTACCACTTGAGCCACAGCGCCACTTCCGGCTTTTTTCTTTTTGCTTATGTGGTGCTGAGGAGTTGAACTCAGGGCCTCAGGCATGCAAGGTAAGCACTCTAACACTGAGCCACCTTCCCAGCCCAATTACTGGCATTTCTGACAGCTGGAACAAATGCTCCCAAAAACATAAATGATTAACAGAAGCTCTGAAGCACAGGTATGCATGGGAATGAAGGAGAGAAGCATGTATCTCTATATACCATCAATGAAGACTAATTTAGTAAACCAAAGGTCTACTGAATTCTTAATTTAAAAAAATAAAAGCTCCCAAGGGCACCTCTAAAAGTAGTCACTTCAAGAATCCCTCTGTTAGCCAGGCGCCGGTAGCTTACACCTATAATCCTAGCTACTCAGGAGACTGAGATCTGAGAATCACAGTTCAAAGCCAGCCCGGGCAGGAAAGACCGTGAAAATCTTATCTCCAATAAACTACCAGAAAACCAGAAGTAGCACTGTAGCTCAAGTGGTAGAGTGCTAGCCTTGAGCTGAAGAGCTGAGGGACAGCACTCAGGCCCAGAGTTCAAGCCCCACAACCAACAAAAAAAAAAGAATCCCTATGTTAGGGCTCAAGTGGTGGTAAGCAGTCTAGTGAGCATGAGACACTAAGTCCAAACCCATACCAGAATAAAAAGAATTACTAACTTGGACAATAAGTTGTAACGAGGGGCTGGGAAGGTGGTTCAGTGGTAGAGCGCTTGCTTTGCATGCAGGAGGACCTGGGTTAAATTCCTCAGCACCACATAAGCAAAAAGAAAAAAGCCGAAAGTGGCGCTGTGGCTCAAGTGGTAGAGCGCTAGCCTTAAGCTGAAGAGCTAAGGGACAGTGCCCAGGCCCAGAGTTCAGGCCCCACGACCGGACCAAAAAAAAAAAAAAAAAAGGTGTAACGAGCAAACTGTGTGTATTAAAAGTCATTCCAGGGCTTGGGAGGTGGCTCAGTGGTAGAGCGCTTGCCTTGCATGCATGAGGCCCTGGGTTTGATTCCTCAGCACCACATAAGCAGAAAAAGCTGGAAGCGGTGCTGTGGCTCAAGTGGTAGAGTACTAGCCTTCAGCTGAAGAGCTAAGGGACAGTGCCCAGGCCCAGAGTTCAGGCCCCACGACTGGACCCAAAAACAAACAAACAAACAAAGTCATTCCAACTACTTAGAAACACCAAAAATTCAGTACATTCGGCAAAAGTTTCAGTCCTTGGGCCTGGGAAGGTGGCTGAGTGGTAGAGTGCTTGCCTTGCATGCATGAGGCCCTGGGTTTGATTCCTCAGCACAACGTAAACAGATAAAAGCCAGAAGTGGCACTGTGGCTCAAGTGGTAGAGCACTATCCTTGAGCTGAAGAGCTGAGGGACAGCAGCGCCCAGGCCCAAAGTTCAGGACCCACAACCGACCAAAAAAAAAAGTTTCAGTCCTCACGCATGATTTTTTTTTTAATTCAGAAGATGGACTGGGAATGTTGCTTAATGGTAGAGTGCTTTCCTAGCATATAGCATATAGCATACTGAGGAATTGAACCTCAGTACCACCTAAACAGGAAAAGCCAAAGTGGTGCTGTGGCTCAAGTGGTAGAGTGCTAGCCTTGAACAAAAGAAGCTCAGGGACAGTGCCCAGGCCCTGAGTTCAAGCCCAGGACAGGCAAAAAAAAATCAGAAGAAAACATTTTGCTACTCTTTGATACCCCTTTCCCCCTCCCCCGTCCTGTAACAACTCAAGATGACTCCTACCAGCTGTGAACAGCTTCACTAATGCTACAGAAACCCAAAGGGTCTGGTAAGACAGTAAGCAAACTCACCTTGTCTCCTTTTTCAAAGTACTCATTCTAACTAAAGAAAGGAACTAAAGGCTGAGAGCTCAAGGCTCATTCCTGTAATCCTAGCTACTAGGAACTGAGATCTGATGATCAGGGTTCAAAGCAAACCCAGGCAGGAAAAGCCCCTGAGATTCTTATCTCTGATTAAGCACCAAAAAAGCCACAACTGGAGCTGTGGTTCAAGTGACAGAGCACTAACCTTGGGCAAAAAAGCTCAGAGACAATGCCCAGACCTGAGTTCAAGCCCCAGAACATATATATACATACATACATACATACACACACACCCAGGAACTATATATTACAAATGTCACTAATACATAAGAAATTCTTCTCTAAAAATATTCCTCTATAATTCCAAGTTGGAAAGAATTGATCAATATTAAACTCAAGTGATAAATGCAACAGTTTTAAATTTTTAAATGTCTATCTGTATAAAATACTTTAGCACAATGGTGCTTGATGTAAGTATAGAAAGTAAATTATATATTAAAAAAACAGGAATCAAAAAAAGCAGAAAAAGAAAATAACTTCCTTTCCCTTCAATGTCAACCAACCTTTTTGATCTCGATGATCCTGAAGATCTGAATTTTTCTGAAGAGCCAGTTCCCTAAATGTGACACAAAAGACAACGGTGAGTAAAAGGTTCATAGCAACATCCCTACAGAATTAACCATTTCCCTGTGCTAAATCGTGCGTGTGCATGTGTGTTGGTTGGTAGGGACTACAGGTTGAACAAACAGCCTTATGCAGGGTAGGCAACACTTTAGCACTTTCTTTTTTCTTGTTATTTTAGGGTTTTACTATTATTATAAAGGTGATATCCAGAGGAGTTAGTTACCTAAGTCAAGTAAAGGGTACATTTCTTTTCTGGATACTATCACCCCCTTCCTTTGTTCTCTCCCAGATTTCAAGCTCTTTTTTGGGGGAGAGGGGCTGGTCTTGTGACTTGATCTCAGGGTCTGGGTCCTGTCCCTGAGCCTCTTTGTGCTCAAGATTAGTGTTCTACCGCTTGAGCTACAGTGGGATTTTTCTGATTAGTTTACTGGAAATAAGATTCTCACTGATTTTCCTGCCCAAGCTCACTTCGAACCACGATCTTCAGATCTCAGCCTCCTGAGTAGCTAGGATTCCAGGTGTGAGCCACCAGTGTCAGGCTTCTAATACTTTCTTTTCTTTTTAAATTGTGAAAACTCCGTACAAAGGGGTTACAATTATATGAGCAAGGTAATGAGTACATTTCTTATCAAGCATTGTTGCCTCCTCCTTTGTTTCCCCTTCCCATCCCTTCCCATCTTCCCCTCCCAGGGTGCCCCCCCCAGATAAGGACTCAAATGGTTTTTCTTTCTTGCTATTGTTTCTAACATATTTATAAGATGATTTCTAATACTTTCTTAATTGTTGCCGTTGCTTACTAAGGCAATAGGTGGGGACAGACTGCCCCCATTCAACAAAGACACATCACAGGAGCAGAAATAATCACATAACAGCAGAGGAGGACACTAGAAAGGACCTGAAAATTGGCCCTTCTCCTCTGTACTAACATGGCACAGAGGAACTTTGATGACTTGTTCTGCAATTCTAAATTTACTTTTTTTTTTTGGTCCGGTCATGGTGCCTGAACTCTGGGCCTGGGTGCTGTCCCTCAGGCTCTTCAGCTCAAGGCTAGTGCTCTACCACTTGAGCCACAGCGCCACTTGCGGCTTTTTTCTTTTTGCTTATGTAGTGCTGAGGAATCGAACCCAGGGCCTCATGCATACAAGGCAAGCACTCTACCACTGAGCCACCTTCCCAGCCCCTAAATTTACTTTTTGCTTAACTAATTATTACTTTACAAGGTATCAATTTTTTAATCTGTTAACAAATTGCTTTTTTCCATTTGTGGATTTTCAAGACTTTTCTTGTAAATATACATAAAATATACCATCTCAACTGTTTTCATATGTACAATTCAATGCCATTAAGTATAGTCACAATATTGTGAAGCCATATCTATTTTCAAAACTTTTCAAATGGTAAGGTTTTTTTGCTACTAGACAGAAAAAAAGTCTCCAAACTATAATGTACCCCTGCATATGAGATTAAAAAAAAAAAACTCTGTGAGGGTTATTACAATACTTGGAAGACACTGAATACCAAATTTTAAGAAACTTGAAAACTGGGTAACTATGCAATAAAATGACAGTTAAATACCACTTTGTGAGCAAGCCTTCTACTTTCTGACTTAAGGAAAGCCACTGAAGTGAAACATGCCAAAAAACAGTGAACACTTCCTCAAACTGGACAACTAATATGGTGAATTATCATAATAACAACTGGGCATATAAATAGCTTTAAATATAGATATGTATTAATAGGAAATAATAGCATACATTCTAGTTGATTATTAGCAATTAATAAATCCCTTTACTGAGAGAGAATGAGGGACAGATGACATTGTATAAAAGGAAATGCACTCATTACCTGATTCATGTAAATGTAGCCCCCGTGTATATCACCTCTAAATAACAATGAAGTAAATTTTAAAAAATAAAATGAAATAAAACCCGAAGGCAGGCACTGATGGATAACGCCTATAATCCTAGCTACCCAGGAGGCTGAGATCTGAGAATCATGGTTCAAAACCTGCCCAGGCAGGAAAGTCTGTGAGACTCTTATCTCCAGAAAACAGGAAGTGCCAATGTGGCTCAAGTGGTAGAGCGCTCGCTCACCTCGAGCTGAACAGCTGAGGCCCTGAGTTCAAGCCCAGACTGACAAAAAATAAAAAATAAATAAAAAACTGAAAAAAGAGAAAATAACTAAATCCTTTTTAAATGTTCCAAATTATACTTACCTCTTCCTTATTATTTTCCATCATATCAGAATTATTTCCAGAAACACGGGTTTTATCTAAAAAAAAAAAAGGCAACAGAAATCATTGTTTATCTTTTCAATATATTATCAAACCCTAAAATCAAGCAAGACATGGTAGTACCTGGTGGTACATTCCTATAATCCCAGCACTTGAAAGGCTGAGGCAAGATCACAAGTTCTAGAGGCCAGCTGAGGCTACATAGTAAATTCCTAAACAATCTAACTATAATACCAAGATCCTCCTGCCTAAAAAAACCAAAAGCCAAAGCTGGGCGCCCATGGCTCGCACTT